TGCCTTTTGACTGCTGGGCAGCCCAACGGGCCTGTCTATACTTAGGACAAAATTTAATTACGTGGGCCGGGTCACCACAAAACACGCACTGACCCTGGTCTACGCGTTCCTGCCATACGCGCCGGTCCAAGCCCAAATCCTCCCAGGGCCTGCCCTGTGGCAAGCCTGGGTGCCATCCTCCTTGAGGTGGCCTTCCACCTCGTCGCTGTGGGGACCGACAAGAACCTTGGCGATTTGGCGGGGGACCTTGACCCCTACCTCCCACTTGGCGGTTCCCTTGTCCGCCAACCCCCTGTGCGCCCGGTCCTCGGCCTCCCATGGCCTGACCCCTTTGGCCCTGGCCTCCTCCTCTACCTTGCAGCCTCCCTTCGGCCGCGACGGCAGCATAGGACCTCCCCTGCCCCACGCTACTGTCCTCCTCCTCGAGGCCCCACTCGATCTGACTATATGGGACGGTCACCTCGTCTGTACCACCTTCCTCTAACGTCAGGATCATGTGATCCTTGGCCTTGACTTGGCCAGAGATGGTACGTCCGTTCCACCTTTTTCCCTTTTCCAAGTCCTTATGCCAGAAAGTGGAAACTGGCATGGACTTTGACTCGAACAGGACGACTTCTCCACTCAACACATCATAGGTGATGCCGGCCTATTGAGATTTGTCAAAGAAATGCCCACGTAGGGGCTCGGGCATGGCACGATAAAATAATTGGACCAACTGAGGCTCAGTGACCCCATGGTCTGGGACGGCTACCAAGTCGTCCATGACGCCCTTGAGTGCTCTCGCACTCCTCCACTGCCGTGAGTGAATGGGCTGCAGCTTATTAGAGGCTCTAACGCCTCTCGTTGGGTCAGCAAATCGCTCCCTCAGGAGCTTGAAGAATTGAGGAAGGGTGGTGATCCTAGAATATGCAACCATGTTGTTTTCACAACTGGTTGCGCGCGCAAGGGACCTGGCAAAACTGGCCGCTTCATATTTGAGGGCCTGGAAGGCGACAAGGACTTGCTCCTCTGTCAGGATATGCTGTAAATACACAAATGTTGACACTGGCCTCCCAGTTGTCAAAGTTCTCCTCCTTCTTCCCTCCATAGGCATCTGGGAATTTAAGCTTCACAGGCTCCTTACGGGGCCTAGCCTCGCCCTCTACAGCGGCTATCGCTTTGGCGCCCTCGATAGCGCCCTCACAAAACTTCCCCACATTGTCTCTCAGTTGCTTGACTTCGCCCCCAATGTGGGTGACTATTTCGCGCGCAGAATCTCTAAATCCCGACCGCATGGCACTCAAGGCTACTTCTTGGCTCCAATTGGCTTGGCGCTCCGTCCATCCATGCTGTGCTCAACACCTCCAGGTACCCCAATACCTTATCCCATTTGGCCTTATCATATGGTTGAGCCTGCACTTCTTTCCTACAGTCTTGCACCTTCGCCACCTCTGCGGTCAGTTTGTTGACTTCCTCTCTCCTCCTCTTCTTTTCCCTCTTCATTCTCAATTTCCATGCCAACTTCTGCTCCTCCTCCCTTTCTCGCCGTTCCATACGGTCCTCCATTGCTGCTAGCTCATTGGCTAGCGCCTCCCTCTCATCATGAGTCACATAAGACTCCGCCTCATCATCTTCTCCCAACGATAAATTAGCGACCCACTCACTTATCCTCTTCTCCATCTCTGCATCTGTATCCCTCTTTGTGCCACTACTCCCCTCTCTACTTTCAATGCGCATCCTCTCTTTTGCTTCTTCTGTTGCTGCTTCTTCTGCTGCTGCTTCTTCTTCAACAACCTTCTTCTTCTTCTCCATCTCCTCCTCCAATTCCTTCATCTTCGCCGCCTGCTCCTCTGCTATTGCCTTTAGCTTCGCCTGTTTCAGGAGCTCTTTCCTCTCCTTATTCTCTCTTACTAAGGCGGCCATCTTCTCTTGCTGTTCCTGGGTATAGGGGTTAGTGCTTAACCCACTTCAGGTGTCAACCATGGTGATAAGTGCACAACCGGATTAACGGTTCCAAACCTCACCACGTAGACTCTAACCCCTGACTGACAACCGTACTGACTCAATCTAAGACTCACAGAATCCTGACAGGGATCCTGCCAACTAAGATCTCTAGCCTGGACCTAACTATGGCTGTCTCTACTAGACCTTTTGCTGATCAGGAGGCATTTAAGGAGATCCCCCAAACTCCTCAGGAATTATTTAACGTCGCAGACAGGACGACGTGATCAGTAGGTCTCTCAAGACTTAGACGGTCTTATGTGCAGCCCACAGCTCGGATTTCGGGCCTACCGTGCCACGCCGAGCAGCCCGCCGGTCAGTACCGGTCCTTGGGAGGGTTAGGCCTCCGGGACAGCCGAGTCGTCAGACACAGCTTGTAGCCCTACTCATCCCGTGTGGGTTTGGTCAACAAGAACCTATCCTTCATCCACAGAGTACTATCACCTAGGATAGAAGAGACTCAATGCAGAAAGAAGAGACAGACTGACTGGACTCAGCAAGTACCACAGGGTGTGTGCACATCCATAGGGCGAGGGATAGGCTGAAGGTTTGGCGAGATTTTACCGGCTCCAGCTTGGTCAAAGTCTTGGTCAACGCCAGTCAATGCTGCAGTCAACCCCCTGTCAACTCCGGTAAACGTCGGTCAACACCTCCGGTCAACTCCGCTCAACTCTTCCGGTCAGCTATGGTTGTCTGCTCCTCTTCCTCGCCAGCCCTCTTCTCCCTTTCACCTTCCTCGCCTCCTTTCACCCCAGCTGTCTTCTTCTTCTCTTCTTTTTTTGTTTTTTTGTTTTTTGATCGGCCCTCTCTTCACCTCTCGGCTATGGCCTCTTTCTCTCCCTTCTCGGTCTCTCCCCCTCTGTCCGGTTTCTTTCCCTCCTTCGTTACTCCGTGGTGACACTCCGCGGCTATGGCCGCTTCTTCTTCCTCCACGTGGGACTGCACAGTCCGCTTCACAGGTATGTAACAACCAAACTTGTATCGCTCATCTCTCTCTCTCTCTCTCTCTCTCGCCGTAGCGATATCTCCAGCGCAGCAGGTACGTAGTAACCCAATCTTGTATCGCTCAACCTTTCTCTTTCTCTCTCTCTCTCTCTCTCTCTCTCTCTCTCTCTCTCTCTCTCTCTCTCTCTCTCTCTCTCTCTCTCTCTCTCTCTCTCTC